GTGGGATTGCTATCATGAGAGCGGGTGAAACGATGGAAAATTCACTACGTGCAGTGGTCAAGGACTGTAAGGTATAGTGTTCTCACGAGAATTCATTATTGATAAGCATTCTATTCATTCTATTGATTGATATTGGATAGATGTTTGAATTGCTTTCGCAAATCAATTTTGTTCAGTTGTGGTATGAATTATCTTCGTGTACCTCTCTCATCGGCATTATATTAAATCTAAAAGATTGTGAAATTTAGATGGGCAAAATCTTAATACAGACGAATGATCAAACGATGGAACCGGAGCTGTATTACCTACGACTTCCAAAAGATATTGATAAGTACAAGGTCATGTTAATGGATGCTACTGTCGCAACAGGTATGTGATTCTCTATCAATTTAGCAATACTTTTATAGACAATGTTTTCTTTAGGAGCTGCAGCCATGATGGCTATTCGTATCCTTCTGGATCATGATGTCCCAGAAGAAAATATTTATGTGCTTTCTCTGCTGATGTCCGAGCCAGGAGTGCATGCTCTTGCATATGCCTTCCCGAAGGTAAATTGTGACTCAGGCATTCGATCAAACAACCTGTAAGCCGTTTTGCACTGAGTTGACTCTTGAGTTTAGGTCCGCCTCATCACAACGGCCGTCGATCACCAACTTTCGGACAATTTTTACGTTCTTCCGGGAATGGGTAATTTTGGCGATCGTTACTATGGCACCTATGTGAGCGATCCTGAAGGGGAGGAGCCATTTTGACAGCTATTTACGGAACGTCGTTGTTTCTTTTTCGTAGATAGTTTCCTTTTACTTTTTGTGGGCTTTTTTGTTTACATGCTTTTCCACGATTTTATTAGTTCACTAGTTGCCATTTTCCAATGCATGTTCTCCGCTTTTCAACTTTGCACTATATTGGTATCGGTAAATTTCTACGGTCACTTCTGTTTCACAGTCACATTGTTGATTTTCTGTTTCTTGTCAAAAATCTCCTGTTTTTCAAATGGGTACTTTCTTCGGTCATTCAGTATTCACTAAATACATTTTCATGACATGAGTGCATTTCCATGACAGTTTCGCTTTCGCTTTCGCATCTTCGTAATTCTCACGTTGTTGCATCATCACCGTTCTGCGTGACATCTTTGCTGTTATCTCTAACTCGGAAGAATGATAAATTATTTGGCGATTTCGCAATGTTTTTTCATTGGTTACTACCATATAGCCTATTTTTATTTCATATCCATTGTTACTTGATTCTCAGTTCACCTCTTCCAGTGACAGCACTAATTGCGAAAACATCAAGCAGCCAAGATCTTTATACATATATACGCATGTTCACTTAGCTTTGGCAAAGAAAACTCTCGGAATAAGGCATTTTGCCCACTAAAGAAGTTTGTCGAGTCACCGCGGAATTGACCACATCTCAATTTTGCACTGCTGAGAAAAGTGGTGGCTAAAGGTTGTGTAGAAAAAGACATTTCCCGTGCTTGTTTTGCTTACGCGTTGCCTGGGGTTTCGAAGCTGGCAGTGCTGTTTTGACATTGATTAGTCGGTATTGCTTATGTTCGGAGACTTTGTTGTAGAGTATAGGTTTCTTTGCATATCAAAGAGCTGAAAATGTTTTAGATATAATACTTATACTA